GCTGCCAGGCCGAAAATATCTGTAGAGAAGCTTAAGGTAATTATTAATTTTTACTTAAAAATATAAAAAATCATGCTTGATCTGTTTTAACTCTTCAATTCACTCCATTCTTGATTCAAGCTCGCACGCACTCCTTGTGGATTTGAGCGATATTTTATAATGTTCGTTCCATTTTTTTCTTTTATTCAACAGACTCATCACGGTGTCGAGTATTTAATGCTGACACCGGATCGTTGCTTGATATTCCCCTCAGTGGACTATGTTCGTAATTTGGTGACCAAGTACAGCCGACGCGCCGAGAGCGTCGCGACGCCTGTGGTGATTGACTGTTCGCATATTTACGGTGCAGACTTTACAGCTGCCACGGTCATTGAGATCCTGACAAAGGATTTCGCCAAAAGAGGCCAACCGCTATTCTTCTACAACCTGAAGCCGTCGGTGAACGCTGTATTCGAAGGCGTCGAGCCTAAGGACTTCATCGTCTATTATAATCAGGAAACATTAGATGATCTACTGAAGGAGAAGGGCTACACGAAGCAAATTCAATAGAAACCTCATGAAACAGGATATCGTTTCCCGATCGTGAAAGATACAATCTGTACTTTCATTGAGTGTTTCTTGAGGCTGTTATTCGGATTCAATAGCCGACTACCAAAAATACACGAAAGACTTTCGATATCTTTTGATTCTTAATGCAGTCGACTGGACTGCAAGGCAGATCGTGAATCTTTTTAAATCAAATCGCCATGAAAGCGAAATTTTTATGAAGCAAATTATGTATTTATTCCAAAGAAAATCTTTAGAATGAAATCTAACTCTAAAGAACGAAATCTCATTCTCAAAAATTAATAATTGAGCCTCTTTTTTTAACATGGCTCAATTATCACTCTTTGCTACTTTTTAATAGAATTAAATTCCATTCCAAAGATTAATCTCTGATTCTCTAAAATTTTAAAGAGTATATATTGTCGTTAATTTAACAGTGTTTCGCTTGAAATTTCGAGCGACAACGACAATAAAAAAACGTAGAAAATATCGTTGACCTAATGATAATGCCTAAAAGTTCAAAAGCAGCTTTAATATATAGCTCATTTAAATGAAATAATTTTGATTTGCGCGTAAGTATGGAATCAGTCAGAAAAGGCAGAAAAAATGCTGAAATTTGTTTATGCATGTATCTTGAACACATTTCAAGTATATACGTCGGTATATAATACTGCTTATATATCTCGGAGAAAGAGAAATGTTATACGTAGGAAAATCAGCTTGAAAATATTCTATATGATAAAATACTACAGAAATTCCAGAAGCAAACGTCTGAACGTCCGACTACGAACGCCTGAAAAATTAAATGCCGCTTAGAAGGTGCCTTTTAGACATTTTAAATATCTCATAGATTCTTAATGAAATTCTTGTCTCATCTAAGTATTTATTTAACTTCGCGATGAAGTTGAAAAACATCTGCGTGACGTTATCAAATCGATATCACTCAGCGTTTTCTCATATTTAAACCCTTTCACGCTATTTGAAATTCACAAAGAAAATTTCCATTGTACATTTTTATACACCTGCTGCTTCATACAAAATAGCATCTTCTACATTCTAGGAGTGCGTGTACATATGATATAATAAGTTTGAACGATACTGTGATAATTTTATAAACAATATGTCTGGTGGACAATCCAGCGCGGCGGAGAGATATTTATACGGCATGTGTGAATATTGTAGATCTCTCTCGTAGAATTTTTAAAAACGTTTCTGCATTGACGGTGCGTGATTCATAGTTTACACGCGTCGACAAAAAGTTTGCAAAGCGTAACAGTTTACGATTATTTTCGATCGGTACACGAGAGAAATTGTTTTTTTCCATTA